CAAACCCACCAGCCACTCCTTGGAAGGAAGGTTGGGCAATCTACTTCCGTAGTGATACTACCTCAGAAACCCAAGGAGGGGTCGCTATGAGTCGGGCCCAACTTGACAGCACATAACAACAACAATACCCAAAAAACCCAAACCTCTTGCCATTAAGCTGATTACGACTCATAGTGACACGACAGGACAGTGCAGAAGTGCCCCATAGGGTTTTCAAGAGTGTAAATCTTTATGGAAGCAGACTGCCACATCTTTACCTCATAGACCAGCTGGTGAGTTCAAACTACCAACCTTTCAGTCAGCAGCTGAGCACTTAAACACTGAGCCACCAAGGCTCCTTTCTGTTATAAGGCAGTAAGATTGCAAAGCTCAGGAAAAATACCCAAGAATAAACCAAGCAGATGGCCTTTTTCATTTACTTAGAAAAGTATAGCAAAAAGTCATCATCCTGAAGGAAATTTTCTTTATTGGTTACCAGGGATGGAGGGGAGAGGAGGGAAAAATTTTAGGGGGGGGAGGAAAAAGTCATCATTCTGGACTTTGAAACAAGAATAGTATTTATTCACATAAAACAGCCTTGGGAGTGACATTCTAGATCCTATGTGTTTCCCATATAGCATCACTTAGCCAGTTCTTATGGTTTTGTCAATATGAAAGTAGACAGAAAATTATGTTGTGACTTGTACTGAAAAAGACTCTTTGGACATGAAGATGAATTCATCTATAATTATAGCAATTTAGAGAGGAAGAGTTCCACCCAGTTTGAAAATCTCCAAGGGTATTACACGCCTCAAAATCACTAAGTTTTTAGACTTTTCTAGACTTAGGTTGTTTTGCCTCTAATCCAAAAAAACTAGTCCAGGATTTCCTTTCATGTCTACACTGAATCAGCACAAATACTTCCAAATTAGGGTCCATTAAATGCTGCGATAGGCATTTAAACACTTCCCAAAGCCATACCTTACCTCTTCTGGCACAATAATTAATGGATACTTGTCCTCAGATAAAAAGTTGAAAATAACCCATATTTTAAATGCATCTTCTTCAGTAATAAGCAAAGGACCCTTGGTGAGGTTTTTTTTGACACAGAGCGTCCAACACATCCTGTTGAATTCCATTTTGTCAAAGTTGTTTCGGACCTAAAAAGAAGAGTAAGGGAAAAAACACAATGAACCAGTTCAAAGTAAGCTGTAAGCCAAACAAAACAAAGACAGAGCCTACTGCAGAGCTCCATTGTAATCAATCCAATTAAGCAAGAATCATTTCCAAAGTATTTGCTCTAGGTACCACACTTTCAATAGCTCAATGAAGAGTGTTATATTTAGCCTCACACTGAAGCTACTTCTGTCCATATAATTCATTTGGCATGTAAAATGAATTGGCTTACCATCTAGTTATTTTTTCATGTGTATACATAAAGTCCACTGCCATCGAGTCAATTCCAACTCATAGCAACCCCCAATGGGTTTCCAAGGCAGTAAATCTTTGTGGAAGTAGACTGCCCCATCTTCCTTCCGCAAAGTGGCTGGTAGGTCTGAACCACCAACCTTCTGGTTAACAGTGAAATGCCTTAGGCACTGTGCCACCAGAGCCCCTACTGTATACATTATCTTCCCAAATAGACTACCAATTCCTTACAAATAAGGAGCTAAAAATGTCAGTTAATCAGTATAAGGTACATGCACATACCTTATCTTTGCCTATATGGTCAAAGAAGATAAATTTGGGGGGGTAGGAGAAATGGTTTACCTGAAATTCTATACAGTCAGTCCTGCCATTCAGTCATTTGTTCATTCATTCAATATTCCCTGAGCATCTACTGTAAGACTGTGCTATAAATTAAGATTATAAAGATGAAGACTTTGCTCACTGCTCTTAGAAAATTCAGTTTATTGAGGAAAAAGACATGCAGATACACAAATTTTTATATAACATAGTAATTCAATAGAGTTTCATTCAACAGATAAAATTTAGATAGTAATTATAATTATCATTTGCCAGGAACTATACAAAGATACCTAACATAAAGGCAGTTATGACGATACCAAGTGATAAGTACTATAACAGAGGTAAGTATAGGGTTTTGTTGCAACAATGGAGAGCAAATCCATCTTGAGATTTAGGGGACGATTTTTGAAAAAGTGACATGACAATAGAGCTGAGTCCTAAAGGATGATCAAGAGTCATACAGATGAAAAATGAGGTAAAGGGCATTCCTGGGAGAACAGCATTTGAGAAAGCCCAGAGGTAAGACAACCGTGGTCAGTTTGAAGAACTATAGAAAGCCTAATGGAACTGGGCCACTAGGTGCTAGAGGGTGGTGTGAATTAGGATTCTGCAAGTAACAGAAACCACTTTGTTGTTGTTGTTGTTGTTGTTGTTGTTATGTGCTGTTTGAGTTGGACCCGACTCACAGCGATCCCTCCTTGGGTCTCCAAGGCAGTATAGTATCACTACGGAAGTAGATTGCCCAACCTTCCATCTGGGGAGTGGCTGGTGGGTTTGAACCACCAGCCTCCTGGTTAGCAGTCAAGTGCCTTAGGCACTACAACATTGGATAACCTCACAGATTCAACAGAAGGGCTGGCAAATCTAGGCTCTGAAAGTGGGCAGGGACCAAGCAGGCTAGGCAGTCAGAAACCATAGCCAAAATCATTCACGGTCTGGTGAAGACACCATTGCCAGTGAAACACAAGGGGATTTCCACTATCACCACTGCTACCACTGACCCTGTCCTTGATCTTCTGTGTCACTCACTACAGATTCAAAGTCCCATTGGCTGAGCCTAGGACACATTTCCACACTCTAGTTGCCAGGAAGGGAGCTCTGGTAGCATAGTGGCTAAAAGCACTTGACTGCTAACCAGAAGGCTGGCGGTTCAAACCCACCAACCACTCCTCGGAAGGAAGGTTGGGCAATCCTACTTCCGTAGTGATACTGCCTCGGAAACCCAAGGAGGGGTCGCTATGAGTCGGGGCCGACTCGACGGCAAACAACAACAACAACAGTTGCCAGGAAAGCAGAAAGTATCCGAACTTTTCCGTTTCACAGAAATGATACTGGTCTCAACCTGCACCAAGACCCTGTGCAATTTCCCAAACACAAGAGTTCAGGTGCTGGCACATAGAAAAATGAAAAAAGTCCACTGCATGCCACACAGGGAAAGATGAAGCTAGAAAGGCAAGTGAAGACCAGATTGTGAAAAGCCTTCTAATCCACGTTAAGGAGTAGGACTTAACCTATACTGAAAGAGCTGACGAGAACAACACATCCAGTGTGCATTTCTGAAACAACTGGGAAGATGTACTGGGGGAAGCAAGAGAATATGAAAAAAAAAAAGTACTTCTTTTTGGAGAGGTGTGAACAAAGCGTTACGTGTGCTTGTAAGGAAGAAGTAAGTACCAGCTGGCTGCAGGAAGAAGTTTCTCACGATCTCTAACAAGGATTTGTGACTGGCAAACCAATCTTCCAGGAGTAGGAAGCTCTGCCTTCAGTACTTTGGTTTAGTCTGGAGCCACAACCAGTGTTGCTATCACATACAAATAGGCTCATGGAGGGAAAGCTGCTTCTGCTGCTTTTTCTTTTCCCTGTGGCTTTAATTCTAGTTGTTAAGGACCTTGCTAGATACTAGGCATTTTATATATAGTTTCCTACTTGCACCTCGTATTAATTAGCCTTGTAAGGTTAAATATGGCTCCTATTTTACAGATTGTTGTTGTTGTTATGCGCCATCGAGTCGGACCCGACTCATAGCGACCCCTCCTTGGGTGTCCGAGGCAGTATCACTACGGAAGTAGATTGCCCCAACTTCCTTCCGAATTTTACAGATTAGGAAACACAAATTCAAAAGACTCAAGTATTTTTACTAAATTCACATAGCTAGTACACTTCAAAACCTGATTTTAAAACCAAAGTCCAAATGCCAGCTCTTTCCACTATGCCAAGCTGCTTGTGGCACTCAGTAGCCAGAGGACATCGATACAATGGAGGACGTCTATGTAACGAAGAAAGTCCATTTGATGAAGCACAACTGTGTGATAGAGATGATCTATGAACTTAAGGACTAGGTTTCAAAACCCACCACCAACAACTCTATCCACCTGTACCAAAAAAGGAAAAAAAAAAAAAAAAGACGACTAAGTGGAAGAAATGCCACACAGGGAAAATGACATATACACAGAAGCATAAAGCCTGTTCTGAGGAACAAGAAGTGATTCTATGTGGACTGTATGGTGAATCATAGGGTTCCTGATGGGTTGTGACAAGATATGTGGTTAGAAAAGGAAATAAAGGCCAAATAAGAAAGAGCTTTGTAATTATAAGGAATAGCCTGTAGGAAACCCCCAAGTGCAGGATTTTAGAGCACAGGAATAAGCAGGTCACCTCTAGCCCTGATCAGTAAGTACTCTGTAGAAAAGATGGTATTTGAGGTGGACCTGGAAATACAATGACAATGAACAGAAAAAGTATTCCAAAGGACAGGAAGAAAACGTATGAGCAGAGGCTTGGAGTCAGCAGTCCACCAACCATGTTTGAGGAATAGTGACCAGCCAACTTTGGCTGATACATAGACACAGATCAAATACAAAAGACATGCTGAAGTCAGACTATGCTAGGCTTGGCAAATGACTTCATTTTAAATAGAAAAAGAAGCCAGCAAAGGTTTTTGAATAAGGAGAAAAATAAGTACTACATTTTTGGAAATTTATACTCACAGAATTATCTAAGGGAGATTTTAAAAGATAGAAGGGTAGGGGAAGATCAAGATTACTATAGCAATAGTAATACCAGACGAAAGGTATTAAGGGCCAAAGCCAGGTTGTGATCTTGGTAAAAATGAGCAGAAGGGATGCATACAAAACAGATAAGATATTTGGGAATAGGTGCCTGGATCACCGTATTCACAGGATTGGGGGGCGGGGCATAAACAAGGAAGAAGGAAGGTAAAGTGCTAAGCAATAGCCATCTTCAAGTTTTCCAAAGATATTAAGCTGGGGGCCCAAAAACAAGCAAAGAACTGGAACTATAACCAAAGAGGGAGGTGGATTTGTGAATCAACTGCATACAAATGACAGAAGCCATGAAGGTCAAGGAGATCACTGAGAGAGAACATAAGGGAGAAAGAGGCCCAAAAGCAGACCCTTGGGTGATAGCCACATTTACAATACAGGAGAAGGAAGAAAGAGCAGTCCAAGTGGTAGGAGAACCACAAAGATACGGAAACTGAGTGGGCTGAGTGAGGACACAGTTAAGAAGAAAGTTTGATCAATAACGCCAAATGCCACAGCAAGTTCAAGGAGATGGAAGATAGAAAAGACCACTGGGTTTTATAAATCAGTGGTTACTAATTACCTTCAAGACAGCCAAGAAGTTTAGGTAAAAGTCAGACTGTAACAGGGCAGAAGCCAAGCAAATTTTCCATGAACTAGTTTGCCTAGGAAATAAGTAGTAGCTTTTTTTTTAATCCAAGTTCACTGTATCTTACTTAATTCTAATAAGTTGCCTGGTTGATGCATTCCTTCTCTAAAACCTAACCCACTATTTCTCAAGTTTAATCATGTTCAAAGGTAAAAGCTATATTAAATGCCAGTATTTATAGCTTCTAAAAGTACAAAATACATAAGTTTTCAACATCCAATAGCACATAAAGCAGAGTACTCAAGTTCTTTCACAAAGAAGGCAAGGAAAGTCAATCTTGAGTTTCTAGAATTTCACATACCATATACAAATGATGTTTCAAGCTTCAAGAACAAGAATAATGAAATATATAAAAGACTCTTGCTAAATAAAAAAGTAAAAGATTTGATTATTATTAAATTATATTAGATACTGAGGATATATGGGAGCTATAGCAGGGAAAAAAAACAAAAAAAGTTCTTTAGGCACTAATGTAAAATAATAACCAAGACATAAAACTACTAAGCAAAGTGCAACATCTTACAATGAATCTCAAAATGTCCAGTGAAAAAATCAAGTCACAAAAAACTA